GAAAAATTTCCCTCGCGAAATTTCTCAAACCAACGCTGGCATTTTCTGGCGCTAACTGCATCTTGACCAAGAGCACTACAGATGTTTTTTTGCAGCCTCACTTGCTTTTCTTCCTAATTGGAACTCGTAAAGCATGCAGTGCCGAATATGCTCTTCATCCGCCATCTTCTTAGCCCTAGTTTTGCAACAAAAACCAAACCAAACACAAACTTTTTCAAGCAAAAGTTGTTAATTGCACTTCACACGTTCTGTAGATACCACGTGTTTGAAGGTTATGTCAATACAAGTCAACGCCAAGCAAGATTTTAAACGAATGTTTAAAACGACATTAATTATTACTAGACCCGATACCACTAATGATTGAAGTTTGCCTGGCACTCTGCTAGGTGTTTCAGATGGATCATCTCACTGAATCTTTCCTTGTGCCAACCCTATGCCATAAGTACTTCATAGATAAGGAATATGAAGATTAGAGATGTTAAGTAATTTGTCTCAAACCACCTAGTGGCAAGTGGCAAAGCTGGCAACTGAGATTTGTCTGATTCCAGACACCCAATCTGTTAATCCTGTCACAATTTAACAAAAACAAATGTTTACATGTGCTAGGCCTGAACCTTAAAGAAGTGGAACAGGTCGAGGATAAGATGGTAATTAATTGGTTTGCAAGTATGCATGGAGTGCTACAAAACTTGGGCTAGGTAACCTCAAGTCTCAGAGAATTGGTGCCCTATGAACCAAGGGTTGGCAAACTATAGCCCTTTGTTGAATCTGGCCAGTTGCCTATTTTTGTTATTGTTGTTAATCCTCACCTGAGGATATTTTTCCATTGATTTTTAGAGAGAGTGGAAGGGAGAGGGACAGACAGAAAGAAACATTTGATGTGGGAGAGACATTTGGATGGGTTGCCTCCTGCACTCACTGGGTTGGGATGCACCCTGACCAGGATGCAGTCTGCAACCAAGGTATGTGCCCTTAACTGGAATGGAACCTGAGACTCTTCAGTCAGGATCAATGCTCTATCCACTGAGCCAAACTGTCTAGGGCTCTATCTTCTTGATTGTTTTCAGGACATGGCAGCTTCTCCCAGAGAGAGGTCACAGTATCTCTGATGACTGGGTTCAGAAGTCATATGTATCACTTCTTCCACATTCTATTTGTTAGAAATAAGTTAGTGCAGTCCGTGCTCAAAGGGAAGGGTATAAGGAGATCCTTATAAAGGAAGAGGTAACAAAGAATTTATGGACATATTTTAAAACTACCACAGTCTGTTTGAAAGAAGGCCTATTTGTTTTAATCAAGTTTATGGAAAAATAGATTCTACAATAATATTATGATGTGATTATAAAATACTTGTAAATAAGGAGGTGTTGCTATAGGAATATACAGATTGATTTACAGAACAATAAGCAATAAACAACAGCATAAAACTCCATTTACATATGACAAATATGACATCTAAAAATTTACACAAAAAGCAAGAACAAAATGTAGGTGAATATTTGTATGATTTCAGAATAAAATTTCAGAATTTAATTACTATGAAAATCACAAGGCAAAATTTGAATACCAAATTTCATAACGAGAAATATAATCATTGACAAACTAAATATAAATACTTTAAATTCTTTAAGCATTTTAGAAAAACCCATAAAATTTAAATGGCTATAAAACATATAAAACCCTATTTTTTTTTTTTCTTTTTTGATTCTTTTGTTGTTGTTAATCCTCACTCAAGGATATTTTTCCCATTGATTTTTTTTTTTTTTTTTAGAGAGAGTGGAAGGGACGGGGAGAGAGACATCAATTTGAGAGACACACATTGTCAGGGAGTGGCAATACATGGGACTTATTTGAAAGCCATTCTGGGTCTGGACTTCCTACTTTTTGTAATAAAAAGGAGTTTTAATCAATTTTAACACACAAAGCAAGAACAAAATGTAGGTGAATATTTGTATGATTTCAGAGTAAAATTTCAGTTTTAATCAGAAGAAAGAGAAAACAGCCATCTTACAAAGAACAACCAGTTAATAAATTTACTACACATATACTAAATGCCTGGCATATTTCTGGCCTTAAGTTTAGGGCTGGTTCCACATCAATGAGGAGAAGAGACAAGGCTGCTGCCTGCACAGAGCTTGCAGAAGGGGTGGGAGGCAGACTGTGCTCCTGTAATTGGTGTGGTGGAGGCTCTGATGGAGAAGCCCAGGGTATCATAGAGGCAGCTCAAGGGTCACTTAACTCAGTCCTGGTGGGTGAGGATCTCAGATATGGGGGAAAAAGAGAGCTCTGCAAAGGCGAAATAGCATAACTTCGGCATTAATTGGGATTTGAACTATGTACCAGGCAGCACTCTAGATAGCTACTGGTCTTCATTCCCTTGATTGTGGGTTGAACCTCGTGACTCACTTCTAATGAACAGAATATGGCAATATCGATGGGATGTCACATCTGAGATTAGGTAAAAACCCATTGGCTTCCATCCATCTCTTCTGTTTTTCTCATTCCCTATCGCTTTCTCTCTCACCTGTTCACTCTGATGAGAGACAGCTGCCATGTTGTGGGTTGCCTTATGGAGAGGCCCACATAGCCAAGAGGGTGGCCTCCAGCCAGCAAAGAACCAAGGCCCTCTGTCCAACAGCCTGTGAGGGCTGAGTCCTGCCAGCAGTTACGTGAGTAGCCTTAGAAACAGACCCTTTTCCAGTCAAGCATGAAATAGGACTGCAGCCCCAGCTAACACCTTCACTGCAGTCTCGTGAGAGATCTTGACACAGAGGGCACTCAACTGAACTGCACCTGGATTCCTGAATTACAGAAGTTTTAGGACAACTTGTTATGCCACCATAGATAATATACAAACTGTAAGGAGCAAAACTACAAGTCAAAGAGTTTATTCTCCATCCTGGTTATTCTCTATCCTTCCTGCCATGGGGAATAATATGTGTGGAGGATAGAAAGACTCTTCTTTTTAATTCTTTAATTCTCTAGCTCCCCTTATTTTTTTAAATTGTTGACAGTATTATAGATGTTGCCGGAAACTAATCATTGTCTCACTAATAGAAAGAGGCTGGTCAACCTTGAAGCTCTGAAAGGTCAGAGCCATCCACTCCCTATCTAATTGAGACACTGGTAACTGAGGCAACTTCCCCATCTTGTAATCATGTAAATCCTTACTGATATGATAATCCACTCATTACCTGCCTAAGGGCTATGGGTGTTTCCCAAAGCTGCTTAAGGGTAATGGGTGTATCCCATAGCCTCAATAAAAGGGATAGCAAGGCCAGAGCCTAGTGGTAGTCTTCCCACTAGAGGTTGACTCCTGCCTGGCCCCCCATTTTTCCAAATTAACTCTTTTCTAGTTTCTCTCTTTATTTTAGTGTGTGGCCTCCTCCTGAAACCGGACCCTGAGTGGGCCCTGAACCACATGGGTCATGTTAAGAGATCCCACAAGATGTCCTCCAAATTCCACCCTTTTACCCTCCTCCTCCCAGGGCTGCCTCATCATAGGGCTTCACCACACTATTATCTGTGTCCACTAGTTATGAATAGCCTATATAATAAAAGGCTAATATGCAAATTGCCTGAATGGCAGAATGACCAGTTGCTGTGACATGCACTGACCACCAGGGGGCAGGCACTCTGGTGGTCAGTGCACTCCCCTAGCGGGAGCACTGCTCAGCCAGAAGCAGGACTCATGGCTGCCTCCACAGCAGCGCTAAGGATGTCTGATTGATGGCTTAGAAGTTCAAAAGACTTAAGTCATCAGTTGGCTATCCCCCAAGGGCTCCCAGACTGAGAAAGGATACAGGCCGGGCTGAGTGGACCCCCCCACCCTACTCTGTGCATGAATTTCGTGCACTAGGCCTCTAATATTTATATAAGTTCTTTGGTTAATCTTTTCCCATTTTCCCCTCTGAGATATGTCAGTACTGAACACCACACTCTGGAGATACTACCTTAAGGTACACCAACCAGAAAGTTGTCTCACTTATTCCAGCAGTTCTGATGGTCTAGATGGGGTGAGGCTCAGTCCTTTTTTTCACTGGGAAATAGGCTTACAGGGTGGAGAGAGAAGGAAGTGAAACCCCAAGTCCCAGGAGTCTGTCTTTGGTTTATTTGTAAATGTGAAATTAAGTGTTGGCTGATATATTTATAACCAAAATACAAACACTTGAATGAATCCTGTTTTATGGGGAAACAGCTACATTAATACCTGGTGGGTGGAAAACCAAGTACCACTGTGGGGCATAAATATGAAAATATATCAGCGAGAACACTGAAGCTGGATCCTTAAGTCACTGTCTACCTTTGTGGAGACCCTAGAATCCACTTGGCCGCAATATCAAGGCTTTCCATACCAGTCCAGGCTCTTCTAGCTCAGATTCCATGCCTTGTAGTTACTTTACTTTCTTCAGGTTTTTGTACACAATTAGCAGGTGGAATCCAGACTTCTCCCCATCAGGAAAGAGCAAAAATAATGTTAAGATAAAACTAACCAAGTAGAGTTCCTACCTACTAAGAGGCTTAAAGAAGGCTTGAAATATATAATAACTAACTTCCAATAGATTCTCTATATAAAAAACCCTAATATGCAAATAGACTGAACAGCCAAACAACCAGTTGCTATGACGTGTGCTGACCACCAGGGGGTGTGCATGGAACATGATGGGCATTGGCCGTGGTGGGATGGTGGAGCCGGTGAGCTTGACGCCAGACCAAGGCTGGGCACCAATTGCTGTCATTGAGGCGAGTCTCTGGTGGTTACTGAAAATTCTTTGCTCCTGTATACTGTGGTCCCACCCAGCACACCCACTGCCAGTGCTGGAGCTGCTGCTCACACCTACTGCCAGCGCCTGGCGCCAGCCCCAATCACATCCAGTGCTGGTGCTGGCCCCAATTGCTCTGCACCCATCAGAAAGTAGTGGGGGCTGGCACCATTAGTGCATGGGAGCGGTGGTGGTGGGAGTGGGGCTGCTGGCAGACAGGGGACCAGGGCCACAGTGGGAGGAGCTAGGCAGGGGCATGGAGGATGGGCCGAGACCCCGTCCCTGTGCCCACCACAGCCTTGCAGCCTATAGTTACTTTTAAGGTGCACAAATTCATGCACTGGGCCCCTCGTGTGATAATAAAAGAACTCTGATGTTTCCCTTCCTGAGTTCCTGGACTCCACTTGCTGCTAAGAGGACTCTTTTAACACAGTTTTTAGTGTTTTAAGAAGTAAGGAATCATATAGTTATCTCTGTATGACCACACAAGCTAACCAAAAGGTCTTTTTTTTTTCTTCTTACTTCATGGAAAGTACTTACTTCCTTTCATAGGAAACCAAGTCCCGTCCCCTCAATTTTATGGAGCAATAATTGACATATTCATTTAAAGCATGTAACAATGGTTTGATATATACTAGTACATACATTGCAAAATGGTTACCACAAATTTAGTTAACACCCATCACCTCACCTAGTTAAAATACTTTTCTTATGATGAAAACTTGTTCTCTTAGCATTTTTCAAATATACAGTATAGTATTAATAACTATAGTTACCATGCTATACATTACATCCCCAGAACTAACTTATCTAATAACTAAAAGTTTGTACCCCTTGATCACTTTTACCCATTTTGCTCCTTTTCCCCAACCACAAGTCTGTGTTCTGTATCTGAGTTTGAGGAAATCAAATTTCTTGTTACATAGTTAGTATATAGCATCTTTCAAAAACAGATCTACAAATGAAAATAAAGAATACATATTTTTTACCTTGAAGAATGAGAATCATTAGTTTTGATAATCTCTTTTACTTGAAAGATGAGAACATAGATTGTGTGATGGCAAATGACAGCTGTTTTGTGGCAAAATGCTGTGTTTAGAGTCAGGAGACCTTTTCCTGAAGTATGGGGATCTAGCTCTCCCAACAAAGATTAAGAGGAGGTGGGATATATAGGGTGTCCCAAAAATGTATACACGCACTTTGAATAATTATAAAGGCAGTGTTTACATTTCATTTTCAAAATTAATCTATTAATATCAGCTGTTAAAGGGTGAATACATTTTGGGGGGACAACCTATACTATAATAGTATCTCTGAATTATGCTCTTTTTCTCTGCATGGGCACCAGGGGGCGCAGACGCCTTTTGCGCCACAGATGGGAAACTCCACCTAGCTAACATCTGGGTAGAAGGAAGCATTCAGAACCAAAGAGGGTTCAAATAGCACGGCCACTCACAGACTGTAACTATCTTTATGGGAGGCGATGAAATCAGCATGGAGCACATGCTCAGATAGCAGAAGAGGGCAAAAGTCTGTTAGAATTAAGAAAAATATTACAGCTCTTTAACCTGAATGCATAGAGCAGATTCTTTTCTTGACTTGAGAAATGAATCTTCAGACTGTCAGTCCCATTTATGGAGAGCCACTCTTGTTGGGTATGTTATTTGTTCCCAAGAAAGAGGACAAATAGAGAAGAGAGAAGGGGGAGTGGAGAAGAGGGTAGTGTTCAGACCTCGCCCCCTTTTCAGAAGGTGTAACTCACCTGGGAATCTCTGCACCACGTAGGAAGCGAGAACGGCTTAAACTTCCCAATAAAAATATTTTTACCTGCAATCTTGCTCTATACTTTACCAATCAATTATTTCTCCTCCGTTACAGTGGGTATTATCCCTGATTTGTAGATATGGAAACAGCCCCCACCCCCTTCACTCCAGAGAAATGGTGATTTCATCAGTTATACAACTTGTCAGTGGCAGGTGTTCTGACTTCAGCATTGAACTGCTCTAACGTGTCTCTTGAAGGGTTCCCACTGCCTACATCATGAAATCCGAATTCTTCCTTCCAGCCTGCCCTTTTGCGCTTCACTTCCAGTTAATTCCTCTAGGACTACCTTCTTTTTAAAATATACTTTATTGATTTTCCACAGAGAGGAAGGGAGAGGGATAGAGAGCTAGAGACATCAATGAAAGAGAATCATCGATCAGCTGCCTCCTGCACACCCCCTATCCGGGATGTGCCCGCAACCAATGTGCATGCCCTTGACCGGAATCGAACCTGGGACCTTTTAGTCCGCAGGCCGACGCTCTATCCACTGAAGCCAAACAGGTTTCGGCTGGGCTAGGACTACCTTCTATCAGCTGTTCAACTTACGTGATTAGAATGTCCCTTTCCCACCCATTATAGCAGAAACCATACTGGGTCAGAGTTCTTTGTCTACGATACTCTGTCCCCGCCCCGCAATGAAAGTCTTGAGGGCCGGATCCTAAGACAAAACGTGGCACAGGTAGCGAATGGAATCGAATGGAATTTGGGTCCAACAGACCTACTCGCTCTTCCTCCGCCCTGCGGCGGCGGGACGTACCCGCGCGCACGGTCCTCTTCCTGGGCTTCTCCGCTCCCCAGGGCGCGGGGACGAGGAGCCGGAGCAGGAGGAGCAGGTGGAGCTGGGGGAGCCTACGGAAGGCTGGGCAGCGGCCGGGCACGGCCCCTTTAAGGAGGGAGGAGCGCGGGCGCGGCCCAGGTAAGGGGCGGGCCGGCGGGCGCACCGGCGCTGGGAGCCGCGCTGGCCGGGAGCCGGATCTGGAGCGCGCGGCGCCGGCGGGGCCGGAGGGGGCGGCGCGGCCGAGCCTCCCGTAGCCTCGGACGCTCCTCCTTGCCGGCCGCCGCCGCCGCCGCCCACCTCCGCCTCCCGCTCCCGGCCCGGCCCGGCCCGGCCCGGCCGCCACTTCCGGCAGCTCTCCTGGGACGCGGCACCCCGGACGCGCTCACCTGCCTCGGGCGCCCGGGCACCAGGATGAAGGACCGGCTGGAGCAGCTCAAGGCCGTGAGTCCCGCCGCCGCCCCCGGGAGCCCCCGGCGGGCCGGGGCTGCGGAGGGTGGGGCTGCGCGGGAGAGGGACTTCCCTTCTCGCCCCAAGTCCAGGCTGGAGAGGGGCCGCGCCAGGCCTGCCCTCGGCCAGCCGCGGCCACATCCCGCGCCCATTCCACGCGCCCCCCCTCATCTCCCTCCCACCTCCCCACCCCCCCATCGGGATCATGTGCCAGTGATTCATCGCTGGACTGCGATTTTCCTGGAAGCCTGTTGCCTCCCTTCGGTCCTCTAACCCCCGCAAACTGGACAGAGTTAGTCCGGAGCTGGGGTCCGCGGGGGGCTGCTTGGGCCTGGGCGAGCTCTCTGTGAGGTCCGGGGTCACCTCCTGCCCGCTGCGCCCAGGACTGGCCGCTGCCTCTCCTTGTTTCCCCCCTGAGGGGCACCCAGCCCACCTGCCCCCTCTCCCGCCCCGGGGAGCAGCTCAGGGCTTCTGAGTGACCTCCTGACCTGTGAGCTGGTTACCTGCGGAGATGGGTCCAGTTCTGGGATCTATAATTATTAAATTTCCCCCAGCATCCCCAGGACAGCGGTGGCGGTGGCAAAGGATCTGAAGGTAGCCTGCCTCCAGCCTTGCTGCACAAAAGGCTGTAAAGTCTTAGGCTACTTACTCTTTCCAGCCACTATTTCCTTATCTGTCAAATGGGGATGTTTGTGCCTTAGAGATTTGTTAGGAGATGAAATGACATAATGAGACTTAATACAGAGAAGTGTTAAAGCATAATAGGTTTTGGAGTCAAGATGTTCACAGACTCATTCAGCAAATAATTATTGAGTGCCGTCTAGGGACAGGGCTAGTGCTAAACCATGGGCACAGGCTCTGCCTTAATGGAATGAAAAATCTAGCTCTTGACAAAAGCAGTCCATCTACTTGGGAGCTTATGCAGGAGTACTAGCTATCTATCCGTTAACTTCCGAGTCCAAGTATTGTCATCTGTAAGATGGGTGGTTGTGAGGACTAACCCCAAGAGAGCACGCAGAGCCCTCTTGTGTGGTGTGTGGCACATAGGGCACTAGTAAATGGCAACATAATGCTACTAACTGTTAAGGCACTTTGGGAAAAATAGAGACCTCATACAAGGATGAGGTCACAGTTGTTTTCCTTTTCCGTCCCTTGGGTGAGATCTTCATGACCTTTCTCACCTGCTCCAGGTAGTAGGGCAGCAGAGGAGGCAGGTCAGTGAGGAAGGGAGAGAAGGGAAGGGACAGTTGTGGGAGTGAGCCTTTCTGCATCTTACCTGCTTTCTGTCATCCGAGCCTCGCAGTGGTTACTCACAGGGCAGAATATATTGCCATTATTTTTTAAAAAAATATATTTTTATTGATTTCAGAGAGGAAGGAGAGAGAGAGATAGAAACATCAATGATGAGAGAGAATCATTGATCGGCTGCCTTCTGCACGCCCCACACTGGGGATTGAGCCCACAACCCCGGCATATGCTCTGAACTAGGAATCAAACTGTGACATTCTGGTTCTTAGATTGCAGCTCAACTACTGAGCCATGCTGGCAGGGCGCCACTATTTTTGTAGGAGAGGAGACTAGAGCTCAGCCTGAGTAGGAGGGATGCCCCAGGTCCCAGAGCATGCTGGCTGGGGAGGCTGAAAGGGAAGAGGAGTCTGGTTTTGAAGGTCTTCCCATGTCAGCACACCCAGCCATCATAAAACAGTGCAAACCGAAGAGCAGGCAGAGGCGGCTCCCTTCTTTTTCTTAGAGATCCACTTCCAAAGGAAGATACCCTACGGCCTCTTTTAATAGCTCATTGTCAACAACTAGCAAAGAACCTTCACCAAGCTTTGAATTCCAAGTATAAATTCAAGCTTCCTTATTACTCCCTGGAACAGGGAGCTGATGCTGTTTCCTCCCTTTCCTTCTTGGGGTGGTGGTGCAAGTGAGACTGCAGACAGTGCAGCTGTCAGGGAAATGCAGTTATTATGGGACTGCAGTTCTGAAATAATAGTGGTCTAGGGCTTAGGAGCAGGGAGATGGGTGGGACTGGGCTGCAGGTTCAAAGGGTCTAGTTGTGACTCTGCCACTTAGTAACTGTACTTAGTAACTGTGTTCCTTTGTGACATTTTCTTTTTTAAATACATTTTTATTGATTTCAGAGAGGAAGGGAGAGGGGGAGAGAGAGAGATAGAAACATCAGTGATGAGAGAGAATCATTGATCAACTGCCTCCTGCACACCCCCTACTGGGAATCCAGCCTGAAACCCAGGCATATGTCCTTGACTGGAATCGAACCTAGAACCCTTCAGTCTACAGGCCTACGCTTTATCCACTAACCAAACCAGCTAGGGCCCTTTGTGTCGTTTTCCCCCCTCTCTGTTTCTCTGTTCCTCCTCTGTAAAACAAAGAATTTGGTTGATCTCAATATTAATGTTTTCCTGAAGACTGTTAAGTTTCTATAAATTTTGGTTTCTAGTCCAGTTACTCCCCCCCCCCCCCCCCCCCTTGCAGGACAGAGACAGCTCTCATTGCCATAAGATAATCATCTTCTCTCTTGATTTCTTTTATCAGGGAAACACATTTGTTAATCAGCATGAAACCAGTTTCACACTGAGCAGCCTATGCAATCTCTTTCTGAGGCATCTTTCTAAACCCTGGGGGAGGAGAGCTGATAACCGCCTCCAGAGATCTGGAGGACAGTCATGGGTGGAAGGTTAGGTTTGCTCTATATAGATACAGGGAGATGTGAAGTTGACGGGTGGAAGTTATGATTCTGCACGAAAGCATTTTTAGTGGTCAGCGCTGCCCAAGGATCAGCGAGGCTGGCTGGAGAGATTGTGAATCCTTTAGCTTGGGAGGGAGGAGGCAATAATTAGTTGGAACACTGTATGTTGTAGGGATTTGAGTATCTTTGAAGAAGGGGAGGCAAATCAGGCAATTGAAAGCCCTCCATCCACTCTGAGGAGATGTGGTTGTGTAAAATGTTTCCTGTGAGCCTGTGCTGAGCACCTGTTAGGCTCTGGAGTCTATAGGACTTAGATCTCAGACTTGCATCTGTAAAGCGGATCCTCCTACCTTTCCCCTCCGGTCATTAACAGGGTGAAAGGAGGTGATTCTTGATAATCACCTACCCCAGGAAGTAAGAATCCCTCCAACTTGCCCTGTTGGGAGCAGCCTCCACACTGAAGGGCACACGCTCCTGTGGCCATGGCCCCGAGACCTGACTGATCTCTTGCAGTGCTCCTCCTGGTGGGCTTTCTCAGCAGTCAGCTTCTTTTCTGCGATTGGGACAGGCTCGCCAGGAATGCGCAATGCCTACCCCTTGCCTATCTCACTAGGCGGGCGGGTCCTGCTGACTTCTCACTGGCTGAACTTTGGATCTGCTGAGTCCAGATGATTGCTGTCCAGGATCCTCTTGCCTGGTCCTCTTTAATAGGTAGTTAGTCACCTATTAAACACTCAGTAAACATTTACTGAGCACCTACTGTGTGCCAGGTCCTTGGGACGGTACTGGCACATCTTCTTGGGTCTTGGGGATTTCCCAGACAGACAGGGAGACACGCAAAAAACAGACACGTGATGTCATCTTTGTGGTGAAACTGCAGGAATACCCTGTAGGAATTGGTGACAGGGCATTAGGGAGTGGGGACACTCCCCAGAAGAAGTGATGTTTAAGCTCAGGTTCTTCCGTAAGTCTTCCAAGGAAGGCAAGGATCCTTAATTCTCTCAAGCATTCTCCCACATATATACTACGATCGTTGCTCTTTAACCTCTATGTGGTGGGCATGTTCATGCTTATTCTTTTTGACCTCATCCTGCTGGGCATCATGTTAGCGAGAATTATTACATAAAGTCCTGGTCTTAAAGAGTCAGTGGCCATCTAGGGAAAACAAAGGGCTGTAAGTTATGAAAACAAACCTCTCCACCCCCATAATCAAAGGTAGACAATGATAATAGATAAGCCAGTGATGTATGGAAAAGAGGTCAAGGACTTTGGACCCTGTTGGAGATCTACAGAGGAATAGAGATGACTTGGGATGTACCGGCCCCTCCAAAACCAACATCTAATGAAATCAACCGCCTGAGGCTCTAAAGGCCAACCTTACTTTTTGCTCGATCTGTCCTGTCTTGTGTCCTAAAGGGCTTGTCTTTGGTCCCTTCCCCATCTGAAGATATAGTGTGTTTTTGGGATCAGAGTTACTCAGGATGATAGTGTTAGTTCAGCCCCATGGAAACATAGACCTGAACTTCCCCTTTAAAGCTTAATTCATTCTGTAAATATATATATATATGGAGCCTCTACTTTATGCCAGGCGCTTTGGATCATAACCAAATCTTAACGTCCTTACTTGAGAATCTCTACGTTGAGATCCCATCCTTCAGTGATAAAACCTCTACTAGCCAGTGATTTCTTCCCCAGCTCCTCTCTCAGAACCCTCTCTGGGAGGGTTCATTCTCTGGGTGAGCTGTTTTGCTGTGAGCAGATGGGAAGCAGAGCTGAGATGAGTGCCACAGGGATTGGGTAGGGATTACAGACCCATCAGCCGGAGGCCAGAAGAGAAAATGCTCGGATGAAAGAAGGGGATTAGTTTTATTTATATTCCTGTGAATGTAGAAGAGTTGGGGGGTGTGGGTCGTGGGGGACTGGCAGTCACTGAGGAAGAAGTGCTTGTTCATGTGTCCTCCCTTCCAGTGTTCTGTTGCCCTTTGTCAAAACCATGCCAAAATTCATCACAGGCAATATTCTCCCTCCCTTCCAGCAGCCCTCATGGGCTGTATATTGCTTTGCAGTGAAATACCTTTCTTCTAATAAGTCAGTGGAGTTGTTACCATGGAGTGGACTTGAACCCATCTTCCTCTTTTTTTTTCTCCTTTTTTATTTATTTATTTATTATTTTTTATGAGATGGACTCAGTCTTCTAGGTCCTCTTGTCTTTAAGATCGATGGCTCTATTACTTCTTGTCGTCATCATATCAGCTGCAGTAACAACAGTCATTTATTGAGCAGCTACCTACTATAGGACAGGACTTGTGTTAGGTGCCTTATATACCTTGTCTCTAATCCTCTCAATGCTGAAAGGCCAGGTGCTGTTATATCATTCTCATTTTACAGGTAACAGGCTTGAGGCGCAGAGTAGATTGAGATATCCAGTTCAAAAGTAGTGGGATCAAGAACA